GCGTGGCCTAAGTGGTAAGAGTGTCTGCATTGAATGCAGGAGGTCACGGGTTCGAACCCCACTTGATTCATGAAAAAGACTTTACTGGGTGGGGCATAAAGATACGCGCCTGCGGCATGATTCCCCGGTGCTAGACACTACTATAAACTAACAAACTGTAGACGTCGTAGCGATATGACTAAAATTGTTAAAGCTAGGTTAAAAATTTATATCACACACACACACACACACACACACACACACACACACATAAACACAGCAGATACAGAACAGCTTGGACTCATCGACCATTCTAAAGATCCTCCAAAGCCTTTTGACTTTTCATACAGGTCTGAATACCCAGCGCAGTATGCCGGGGAACGTATGGGCTGAAAGTCAACTTCGTTCCTTATGGGAGCTAACATTAGGATTGAACCACATGCTAACATGAAAATTTAACATTATGGTCACTAACAGCCTTATTGGGGTCACTATAGGACTTATGCTGATTGAACATTTGGGGCCACTGTTGGACCTTGGGGGTTGTGAGTATTTAAGATTGTGGCTACTATAGGACTAGTGGAAAATTAACTTTTAACATTTAACATCACTTTTTCGCTGTGTGACTTAAGGGAATGGAACACGTTCTTAAAGAGGAACACACATATAAGCAAAATAAATGGACAAAAGAAGGGAGGGACAATGATATAATTACTAATATACAGTTTCTTCTCACCAATACCTACCCTTTAACCAATAACAGCACATATGTACAATTACACAAACAAGTATGTGTAAACCGGATTACAGTGTGGGATAGAGCGATGAGGACTAAAAGTGATTCTGACAGACTCACACACGTTCTTGAAGAGAAACAACCCACACAAACAACAAACGGATAACGCAAACAAATGATATGTTATGGTCACTAACACGGCTATGTATCATCCAACGCTCACAAGTATGTGTAAACCGGATTACAGTGTGGGATAGAGCGATGAGGACTAAAAGTGATTCTGACAGACTCACACACGTTCTTGAAGAGAACAAACGGATAAACAACACAAACAACAAACGGATAACGCAAACAAATGATATGTTATGGTCACTAACACGGCTATGTATCATCCAACACTCACCCATACAAACAAAACACATGAAGAAAATAAGCGTTATGCCATGTAACACACATATTTACTATCTAAATTCCATCAAATTAACACAAGGATGAAATAGCTCATCAAATATATATAAGTCTGATATGTTTTTCATGCAAACATACTTCTATATAAACGGGCCATGTCTTTTTCATACATATTGAACATGAATATTAGAATACCTGAGTAGCCCCGAAAGGGACTTTGACCGTTAACAAACGTAGTCAACACTTGCTACGTGTATTGAATCTTCACATCTTGAAAATTACCGCTCTGATTGCCTAGTGGTAACAAAGACCGCTTCAGATGCGAGAGGACGCGAGTTTGATCCCAGGCCAAACTATACCAAATTCTTATAATAATGGTTCTAGTATTTGCCTTGCTAGGCGCTCAGCATTAAGAAGTTAGTGTAAAGAATGGTGTCAGGATAATGTGACTAGGTGGGTCTTGATGCTAAATGTCTGAAGCAAGATGCCTCAGTGCTAGACATCACTATAAACTGTCACACTGCAGACATCGTAGCTATATGACTGAAAAATTGTTAAAGCTAAGTTAAAATCCAACACACACACACACATCACAGCATCATATTTAACGATTTGTTTGTTGCACCCTAGAATTGATGTGACTGAGAGACGTGTCATAGCCCACTTTGGCTGTACATAAATTGGGCTATCAATCTTAAACAACGTACAAAATATATCTATCGACGACACTACGCTAACCTACATCTTGAGTCTTTAAAAACGGTAGCCAAGACCGGTAAAAGTTCCACCTTGATATGCATTGTCAACGGACCGAGAATAAGAATTGTGTATCTTGTTATGGTTCAACAAAACTACGCCTGTTTTGCAACTAGCAATTACAAGGCATAACAGTGTATCACGTGATTAAGTTCACATGTGTAAAATATCATTTGAAATTGGAACCATGACAGACTACAGGTCACTACAAATACAAATGTTATGGGGCATGGACCGACACACATTCGGAAGAACCATTTTCAGTTTTGTCACTGGCGTAATTAAAAATTATGGTTGCCAGTACCGAGTAAGAACAATTTCACACGAAATACTGAGAGCGACGACTCACACTCAGCCAAGTCGTACACTCTGACGTGCTAAAAAATGAAGCAATGAAACGGAAATACTTTGGCGTCAAAGCCTATAATCCACGCAAGATTACACGTTTGTCAGGTCACTATTTCGTTTGTGCACCCTGGAGAAAGTATATGAAATTGTCATCTTGAAACGAGTGTAATTTCTCGATTATAACGCCGTATATAATGGCTACCATTCAGTATTAAAATAAAGACAGGGGATGGGCGCAGGGGTGGTCGTAATGACCAAAGACTAACCTAGACAGACCAACCTCTTTCCTCTTGAATATACCTTCCTTACAGAAAATGATGATCCTGATGATGTGATCCTCAACAAGATTTGTGTACAACCATACAAAGTGATTTTATTCGCCGTGATAAACTATGAAAGTCATCAGCATGTATTCTGCAACCACCCACGCCTCATATTACAAGCTAAAGTAAAATAGGTCGTTCCAACATTTTCTTAATTTTATTTATGAGCAAAAAACAATAAAAATTACTTTTCATTCACTCTGGCTGGTCATCTTGATATACAAGTCAACTGAATATTTTCAAATAAAATGGCAGAAAGACATAGAATGACCCATTCCCAAACGTTTAGCCACACCAGGATTTGTATATATAGGAGAATGAAACCAAGTTTTGTATTTCAGTTGTGGCGTGAACTCCGCAAATATTAATATAAAGATCAATATTAACATAAAGATTCAGCAGTCGAGGAGAATAGTCAGAATTATCCGAATTTACACTACTTTCACTTAGTTCATATAGATATTCTCTGTAAACTTTTATCTTTGATAGGACAGCAACGGCATGACATAGGCAACATATAAAGAGCATGTAGTCTAGTGATTCCTAAGATCTTTTCATGGAAGCTCGCATTCAGAATCAACGTTTGAGGATGCGAGAACATATTTGCAACTATTCTGAAACAACGAAACATTACATCGTAAACGCCACATAATCTTTAACGTTTGAGGATGCGAGAACATATTTGCAACTATTCTGAAACAACGAAACAATACATCGTAAACGCCATATAATCTTTAACGTTTTGAGGATGCGAGAACATATTTGCAACTATTCTGAAACACAACGAAACATTACATCGTAAACGCCACATAATCCTTAACCCTTCTTATCTAAATATATAAAAAGACTGGTTACCTTAATTATTTTCAAAATGATCAGAAACTGAAACACTGTAAAAGATTATTGAATCCACGACTTTTCACGTTGCCCTTTTCATCTCTGATAATAACGTTTTCATCTCAAATTTTTGTTACTTGTATAACGTTTAAATTGCATCGTATAATGAGAAAGACAAATAGCAAAGACTACTTAAAGGACGAAAATTTGAATAAAATGACGAACTTTTAACTTACTTTAAATCAGCGTTTGGAAAGCAGTCTGCGTAACTACAACAAGTGATATTTTTTATCTACTAATTGAGCAACCACCAGGGAATTATAGTTGTATTTTGTTGTTTTCCCTCCGCTCCTTGTATTTTATGGTAAAAAAAAACAACAAAGGAACTAACAATACAACAATCTAAATTAAAGCAAATAAAATATTGATGATATTTAGATGAGTTTATTTGATAATATATATATATATATATATATATATATATATATATATATATATATATATATATATATATATATATATATATATATATATATATATATATATATATATATATATATATATATATGATACAGCATTATGTTCCTCTGGGCAGAAATAGTATCCAAACCGATCTAGTGACTTGCTTAAATTGTGTAATGGTTCCAGGAAAATATAATCATTCAAATAATGATCATGCATCACAGAAGAAACTGAAAACTGTCGATCTGTCAAATATTTAATGTGTATATTTGCCTGATAATTTTCTTCATATCTGAATCCACTGCATTAGAGGTCGAATAATCATGTTGAGAAATATGACGGTTAAAAAAGCAACTATATGGTGGCTTCAGTAGTGAAAAGAAGTTATTTTTTGCTACGTATTCTATTACGCAAAATATTCATATAATCTGTTATATTTTATGCTAAAGCAGATTGCAAGTACTGACACAAAATACAACAAGCTGCTTTCAACTGGATTTAGCATTCAGAAAGTTAATTTTTAGCTATCAAGCCAGATTATAAAGAAAACTGTAACAGACCTTTTCGCGTACATTTTGCAGTTTCACAAAAGAACTATTACAAGCTCTAGGAAGTGTAAAAACGTAGTAAACAAAATGTATCTTCTCTGCCGGATGGAGAATTTGCTAGACACAAATGATGCACTGACCACTCAAATTAGATAGCCAGACTATCTACATATCGTTCTCTCTGAATAAACGAGACAGAACATCCGCCATTTCTCATCACAGAATTTTAGACAGGAACTCTGCCTTTTTCACTACTCTTGTAAAGAAGAAAAGAAGCAGGAGATCAGACTTCTGAAAATTATATCACGACATACTGTTTTAGTCTGTTCGTCCTTATACAAGCTAATGATGGCCAGACATTTCTTTTAGTCTCTTTCAGTCTCTTTCAGACAGACTCTCGCAAGATTCAGATATATCAGCTTTGAATGTGTCTCTCTTTTCTTCTATCACTCTTGTTTTCCCTCAGTAAGTTTATGGCACAATCTGACGATTTGAAAAATATTGGCGCCCAAGCGAAAGATAGAATCATATTTCCTTTTTTTATGTGGTCGGTAAAAAATCATAAAAATTGGGTGTTTGTCTGAATAGAGGTTTTTGTTAAGAACGATAACTAACCTGTCATCCAATCAGCTAGTTATCGGATCGTTGGTAGGCTTCGTTTTGAACATTACAA